GCCCTGCTTCCATTTATACAGGATGTCATGGAGAGAAGAGCTGGACAGAGAACCACAACCCGTGTGTGTGTGTGTGTGTGTGCAGTGAGCAGCCCCCACACCCTCGGCTGCCATACCTGTGCTCCTGCGCCGTGTACTTGAGCAGCTCGGCCAGCTGCAGGGGGTACTTGCAGATCTTCTGCACCGGCGTCAGAAGGAAACCGTCTATCGCAATATCGATCATCTGTTGCAACAGGCGACACGCTTCGAAGAAGTGCTGGTACCTGCTGTCTTTCATCAGCTTGGAAAGCTCCATGCATGCATCCAAATGGTTGTTACAGTACTCGGAATAGATCCAGAAACCATCTTGCTGTGAGGGGCAGGGAACAGGGGAGGACACGTCAGGCAGGTGCTGCAGGCAGTCGGCCACCAGCTGGCCAGCAACACATCACAGCTAAGGGAGTGCAGGGTTAGAGTGGATATTAGGGAGAACCTCTTCCCTGTGAGGGTGGTGAGGCACTGGCACAGGTTGCCCAGAGAAGCTGTGGCTGCCTTATCCCTAGAAGTGTCCCAGGCCAGGTTGGATGGGGCTTGGAGCAATCTGGTCTAGTGGAAGGAGTCCCTGCCCATGCCAGGAGGGTTGGAACGAGATGGTCTTCGAGGTCTCTTCCAACCCAAACCATTCTGGGATTCTGATTCTAAGAAAGCACACCCCAAGCAGGAGAAAGGACAGATCCTAGAGTACTTTTCCTGCTTGGAGGAAGTGCTGCATGGCAGCTCTGGGGGAAAAGGGAAGCAGAGAGGGACCTGCACACTGACACACAGTTGAGGTCTCTGTAGGTACAGGTGTGTTAACCTGACTCCTGCGCAGTGCTGTGGCTGTCCTCAGTTTCAAGCTGTGCAATGGGGTTTTCTTTAGAAAAGGTAAAGGCAGAACCAAGCAGAACTCTGGCTTTTGGTAATACAAGATGACAATCTTGTTTTTTCTAGAGCTCCTTCCCTGAAAGATCATGCAGAACCTGGCAAGTGTTTAGGAGGAGGGAACCCAAGGCACCAACCACTGTGTGGATTTCCTCAGGACCAGAGAGCAAGAGAACACCAAAGACTGGAAAATCAAACTAAAAACCCACTCACATGTGCCCCTATGCCTTTGGCACTGGTATAACAGGCCTTTTGGTGCCAGTTTTGTTGGAATTTCCTTTTTCGGCCTTCACTGATCACAGATGGGGCCATGGCAGTTTATCACCCTTAAGTCAGGCTTGATTTGTCTGAGCCACACAGACAAGGCAATGAAAGGTCAAAGGAAGATTACACAGGAAGGGAAACAGCCTGCCGAGAATCACACATTAACACTGTAGCTGGAACAGCCCAGATAAAAGCTCAGGTGTTGCAACTCAGCCTGAGATGCTCCATTGGGTTGTGGCCAATGACAAGAATCTTACTCTGTAAAAACACATGCCCAACCATTCTTGTTTCTCAGTCCCTCAGGGCCCAAATAACCTGCCTTTCTGGGAACAGGGGAGCCTGGTGTCCTTCCCATCCCCACAGATGACTGAGAGCCACACGCTGACAGTTCTCTCTGCTGAAACAGACGAGGAACAAGATGCTTTGCAGATCCACAAACACGACCTTACCAACCTCAACCCTCAGTTTCCCCAAATGGCTAAAGAGGGATAATTTATCAGGAGTTTATTAGCCAGCTTTCAGCCCCTGTCTGGTGACAGCCAAGTGTCAGATATTTCTCCAAATAACAGCTGCAATTCTTACTATTGTCACTATCAATGAATTGACAGCACAGCCTCAAGTCATGACATTTTAGCTACTGATTCTCACCAAGATCTCTTCCATCTTTTCAGCACAGAGGTGGGATGTGATGCTGCTTTGGAAGGAAGCAGCAGAGATTGCAGTCTCTGATAAGACCCGGGCACGTTAATGTCTCATGCACCTTCTCAAAAGAAAACCTGCTCTTCAAGGAGAGGACCAGTGATGCTTCAGAGATGCTGCGAGCCTCTTTAGGGATACCCTGCTGAAGTTTCAGGAATGTCTATCAGAAATTTCTCTAATAGAAGTGAACTGTCGCCAGCTCAGCCCTGACTGTAAGTAATGAGGTGACACACCACGGGACCTGCAGCCCAGGCTGGAGCACCTGTAAGCTCTGATACCACACCTCATTCTCCCTCAAGCAAAGCCTCAAACGGCAGGGCTGTAATTTTCTTGACATTTCCTGACATATTTACGACACTGGCCAATTTATCAGCTCCTGTAGTATGTGACTTATGGAACAGTATGATGGGCTGGGCAAAAGCCTCCAGGACCTTATTATCAGAGTGCACTCAGTGTGAGTACTTGCTGCCCTGCTGCCACGTGCACAGCACGAAGCACGAGCTGGCACCTCCCCACCCAGTCCAGCTCCATGGGGGAAGGCACCTAAGCCAGTGTGGGTGTTTCACCCCTTGCAAGCACATCTCAGTGCCACAGCAAACGGCACAGACATCTGCTCTCTACTTTTCTTGTGTAACACAAAATTAAGGCCCTTTTCACCTGGACCTTCTTACAACCTTCTGCTAACCCATGACCTAATCAGGATGGCCTGTGAGTGGGTTTAAGCCATATTCTGAAGAGCAAAAGGAGGTGGGGAGTAGGTGAGGATCATCACACCTACATTAACATGATCAAGGGTGAAAAGGTGCTGGGATTCAGATGTACTGGGGGGTATCCAACTGTATGCTCCAAGTTCGCCCTCCTCTATATCTCATGAAGTAAATGGAGGACCATGGAGTAGTTCCTGGTATGTAACTGGAATTATCATAGTATGCTAAGGGGTTGGAAGGGACCTTAGAGATCATCATGTTCCAGCCCTGGGCAGAGACACCTCCCACCAGAGCAGCTTGCTCAAGGCTTTAGCCAACCTGGCTTTGAACACTGCCTTGGGGCAGCCACAACCTCCCTGGGCATCCTGTGCCAGTGTCTCACCACCCTCACAGGAAAAAACTTCTTCCTAATATCTGATTTAAATTTCTTCTTTCAATTTATCCCCATTACTCCTTGTCCTATCACTCCAGTTCCTAAGAAAGAGTCCCTCTCCAGCTTCCCTATAGCCCCTTCAGATCCTGGCAGGTTGCTCTGAGGTCTCCACACAACCTTCTCCAGGCTGAACAGCCCCAACTTTCTCAGCCTGTCCTCATAGGGACAGTGCTGCAGCCCTCTTATCAGCTTTGTGGCTCTCCTGTTCTGACACGCAAATGTTATTCTGAGGGGTTCCTGCCTCCTGACTTCTCCCACCCACCCTATCCCTGCACACCAAGCCCCAAACTCCCAAACAAAAATGCCAAATTAACTTACGTGTTCCAGGAAACATGGTCCGATCTCACTGAGATGGGGGTCCTCGTTGTTGTACTGTTTCTCCAAGTCCCGGACAAAACCCATCTGAAATCTGTAGATATCTTCGATGTTACCAAAGATGATTTTTAGCTGTTCATCACTGAACATATCCCTCCTCTTCCGGCACTGCTTTAAGTAACCCTGTGAGGAGTATGAAAGAACAATTTGCAGAGAACAGCAAAACCTGGCTGATAGCTCCAAAGAGGTGTGTTACAGTGCTGTATGCCTGTTCCTTTAAAACCCACTGTCTCACAACACCCAATACCCAGGGAAGCTCATACAAACACTGCTGCTGCCATGTCCTCTTCAGTAGCACACGCCTTACAGAGAAAGCTGTGAGGGCTGCTTGAGCATCTGCCCACTCTGATTTCTCCCTTCAGTCACAGTGAAGTGGAAGCTGTTTACTATCTTTATCAAGTTCTGTTTAGTATCTTTACCAGTGATCTGGATGAGGATACTGAGTGCACCCTCACTATGTTTGCAAGTGTCTGCCCAAGCTGGGCAGGAGTGCTGATCTGCTGGAGGGTGGGAAGGCTCTACAGACACTGAGCAAATTACTTCATCCCCCTGTGCTTCACCTGTCTGGATGATCAACATAGAACCACAGAATTTTTAAGGCTGGAAAAGACCTTTAAGATCATCAAGTCTGACCATAATGATTCAGACTAGAAACTTTGCAAGGCCAAATCTCAGGTGCTATAACTGGCCTGGTCCATTCTGCAGTCTCTCGACTGAAAAGAAATAACATGGGGGTCATCAGGAGATGACTTTGCTTGCCTTTATTATATAGGAAAAGAAAAAAAGAAGGGACATAAATGCCAACAGCTCCAGTGGAATGGCTATATTTGGGAACCCAGGATGCTTAGTCACACAGCCTCACTGCCAGCTGGTGACACGCAGCTGCTTGTCCACAATGAACCATTGCAACACTATAATAAACTGTCCTTCAGCCTCACCATGTGGTTCCTGTCAGGGAGAACTTCAAACAAATGAATGAGAAATACAACTTTGGCCAACCTGGCCCAGACCCAACCTCTGCGTTGTCCAGTTGAGCTTGGAGGATGCCATCACCCTGAATTTCCTGGCTTTTTCAGCTGAGAAGTTTGGGTTACAGAATACCTTCTGCAATTTCTAATCTAGGTCTCTCTTCCTCCAGGAGTTCCTTGATGACTCATTTCCCTGGGTTTCCCTCTCTCATTTTTCAAGGCCAGGAGCAATGGGAGCAGGCTGGTTCCCACGCTGCAGGACAGTTGCAGGGCAAATCAAAATTCAAACTCACAAGAAATGATGCAGAATATCTCTCCATGCAGCTTTTCATGTTTACCTGCTTATCTCAGAACAGCTTTGAGAAAATCCAAAGAAAAAGCCAGGAGCTGTGCCCCTGCCCTCGAGGCCAGACTGTCCCTGACATGGCTCTGCTGCCAGCAGTGCCTGGGACTGCCGAGAGCTGGCTGTGCCAGGACCTGTGCCCGCTGCTCACTGTGGGCTGCCTGCAGGCAGCCTCCCCCTCACACTCTGCTCTGTGACATCCCTCACTGGGTGATTCATGTGAACATCTTTCAGCCCTGGGGTTGCCATTGGCTGCGAGTCCCATCCTGACTATTCCCATCCTCCCTGTGCTGGTTCATCACTTCACTGGAGTCACGTGTTTGGAGAAGCTGAAGCAGCACATTTCTGTACAGGCATCTATAAAAGCACAGGGAAAATAACTGAATGCATGGAGTTCCCATGCCTTTTATCCTCTCTATCCAGCTTGTGCCTTTGGATGGGTGGTTTCCAGCACAAGACAGGAAAAGGGAGACTGAAGATTTATATATAACATGCAGCAAGAAGCAGCTAGAAGGCTGCTGCAGAGTTTTTCCAGTAAATTTACTTCTGTTACATAAAACAATGTCATCTTCCTTCTGCTCTTCCCGTCAGGTTTGCTCAGAGAAGGGATAGCTGACTGATGAGCAGATGTTGGAGAATGTTTTGCTCAATGAATACCTAAAAATAGCTGCCAAACTGTCTCTCTTTAAAGTACTTTTCCATGTAGTCCCTGAAGTATAGGCCAAAGTTGGAAAGTATTTGCAGGAGGTTAAGTGCTAAGTTTTCTCCACCCCAAAGTGGGTTTAGAGCCAGTCAGGAGAGGTGGTCTGTCCATCCATCCATCCATCCATCCATCCATCTTGTCTGTCTGAGAGCAGGGTGAAGGAGAAAACAAAGAGATGATAGCCACTGCAGGCTGTAACTTCAGAGGCAGCTGTGATGATACCCTGATTTCTTTCAGCTCTGAGTCAGTTTGGGGCTGTCTATACTGTCCTGTAACCTCCCCTCAGCTTGGCCCAGCACCATTTGGACTATAAAACACTGTTGTCTATGCAGTCCTCACAGCACAGAGGTGAACATGGTGCTGATAGGCACAGACCAAAAATAACACGAGCAAAGCTGAGACTGAACTGGAAAGGCAAATCAGAGCCATGCCTGGTCCCAGGCAGACAGGACTCTAAAGCACTTACTCAAATACCTGTCTACAGCAAGTACTGAATGTCAGGTAGTACTGTGACTGCACTAGCAAAGTCCTGCAGGAACACAAGCCTGTTCCTCAGCAGGGCCAGGATCAGCCAGCTCCAAAGCAGGAAAAGCACAAGCAGGCTGTGAGAGAGAACTACAGATTGCACAGATATGCAGTACATATTCCCATCAATCCAAAGATCTTTCTGCAGTCAGCCTCCAGTCCAGACTGGGTGTGAGGCTGGTCACTCAACAGGGCCAGCAGCCCCTCAGACCTGGGCCTCTCAAGGAGGGCTACACTGCTGCCAAGGAGGTTTCATGCTGCTTTGCTCTGAGGCAGCATGAAAAAGTGGGTTTTATCCATCTCTGAGAATGAGTCAGGCTAAAGCCATCCAGACCACGTGGAAACTTGTCTCATCAGCTCTGCACAACAGCCTCAGCCTGACACGCTGAGATGCAATGAGGATGTTTTCCATGCGGCACTCAGAGCTGTCCTGGCACCAAAGCAAAGCCTAGGTGGAATCCAGTCAACATTATTAAAAAATAAATTCAAAGTGAAATTACTTGGAAAAGAGCAAAAGGCAGCACTGGAAGTTGGCTGGCCTTTCCAACCTCCCACCTCCAAACGGCTCGTAAGACGGAGGCTTCCTTTGATCTCTCAATCGCCTCACTGTTCCCATCCAAGCCCTGTCATTTCTCCCTCTAACACCTCTTTAAATTAAGCCGTGTGTTCCTAATCCCTATAGTGGTCCAAATCCTGTTAACTTCTCAAAGCCTGGCACCCTGCTCTGTGTAACCCTCCTGGGTCTGGTTCTTCCACCTGTGCTCCACAAATCAAACCCCATTCCTGCCCCTCTGCTCCCACCGAGGCACCTGTCCTGCTTGAGTACCTGCCACTGGTGTCACGTCATCAACAGAACCTACACCTTCCCAGGATCAAACCCCAGGGGAAGGGGGTGTATTTTCAAGCCTGGAGATGGCCACACATATATAGAATCACAGAATCATTGACTAGAAAAGACCTATATGAGCATGAAATCCAACCGTCAGCCCAACAGCACCACCACGGTCACCACTAAACCACACCCTCAAGTGCCACATCCACATACTTTTTTAACACTTCCAAGAATGGTGGCTCCACCACTACTCTGAACAGCATGTGCCAATACTTTACAACCCTCTGCATAAAGAAGTTTTTCCTAATATCTAGCCTAAACCTCCCCTGGTGCAACTTGAAGCATTTTTCTCTCCTCCTGTCACTTGTTACTTTGGAGAAGAATGTGGTACTTTACAGGACAGGAGTGAGCAGCACTGCCTGACAGTAAGGCTGACTACTGCTACCCATCCTAAAAACCTAGTTTTCAGTAGTTTATTACTTTCCTAAGCTCTAACTGATAAGCCTAAAAATCCTATTGCTGAGTATTTCCTTAAGGTTCACTGATTCTTTCTTTCTTTACATAGAACTGTCATAGAATCACAGAATGGTTTGGCATGGAAGGGACCTTGAAGATCATCCAGTTCCATTCCCTGCCATGGGCTGGGACACCTTCCACTAGACCAGATTGGTCCAAAGCCCCATCCAGCCTGGCCTGGAACATTTCCAAGGATGGGGCAGCCACAGCTTCTCTGGGCAACCTCTGCCAGTGCCTCACCAGCCTCATAGGGAAGAATTACATCCTAATATCCAGTCTAAACCTACTCTCTGCTAGTGTGAAGCCATTCCCCCTTGTCCTGTCACTCCAGGCCTTTGTAAGTAGTTTCTCTCCATCTTTCATTTAGCTCCTTCAGGCACTGGAAGGCTGCAATTAGATCACCCCAAAGCCTTCTCTTCTCCAGGCTGAACAATCCCAGTTTTTCCCGTTGGTTATATTTCAGAATAATGACTCATCCACTCCTGACAATGCAGTCCACATTTTACCCCTAATGAAAGTCTTCACAGAAGCATTTCACCCAGCAGCAGTCAGTCCTTCATGCTCTAAGTGAGGGCAGAGCAGCAGCAGCAGCCATAGGGGCAGGGGGGCTTTGCTGTGATGGGGATTTCCCTCCAGGCCTTGGCTTGCACAGGTGATTTTTATCCTGGTGCTGGCTAGCTGATGAGCTCCTGGCTTAGCCAGCCTTGTGCCATGGGTGTTGTCAGTAATAACATGGTGTATAATAATGTAGTAGCAGGTAGTGGAAATGCATTCTGAAGAAGAAGACAGCAATAGGAGAGCTGTTAATCACCGTCCTTTGGTAATGACCACATAACTTAAGGTGCCTCAGCGGTATTAGGATTTGTTACTCATTACAGTTCAGCAAGAGGAGTGTGACCACACGCTGCTAAACTCAGCACTAAATCAGGCTCAACCTTCACCACCCAGGCAGAGCCCCTCTCTCATCTCCTCCAATACGTCATATCACTGCCGATTGTCCTGGCATCTGGAATAAAGGGCCAAGGGAAGAGGGGAATTTGCCACTGTCAAAGCACTTCTGCAGCTCATCAAGTGTTGTCTGGTGTCTGCTCGTCCTGCAGCACCAATGACACCTCTGTACAATCCATTTAGGGGCACTGGGAGCTCAGACAGGCCATGTCTCTCCATCTCCGGCCCCACTCACGTCATGCTATGTTGAAATGCCTGGGATGACGGAGCTGTCTCCGAGTCTTCTCAAGGCAAATGGATTGCTCTGATTAAACTGAGCACAATGAGGCTCTCTCCAGCAAGGCACAGCCCATCATTTCACAGATGAGAATGCCCATGTCAGTCCTCCTCCTTCCTTAGCAGAGGCAGCTGAATCATTTCCTGGTGCTCTACCTGGAGGAATATTTATCCCCTCAATAGCATTTTGCATCACACAGAGCAAAGAAAGAGCCTTCCAGATCTCTCTCCTATCTGGGACATATCATTAGGTGCAGTAAATCAGTGTTACCCCATGGATGTCACTGCAGCTGTACCTGTCTGTACTTCCTGAGAATCCCACCTGGCAGAAGCACAGTGACACAGCTGGAGACCCAAGTTAAGGTTTGTTTAGTTTTTCAACAGAAGACTGCAAATGCAGGAAAAGAAGCAATATATGGACAAGTGCCTGCAGTTCTTCCCTTCTCCAATGCAAAGCTCTCTGACTGAAATAGCGCAGTGAAATGAAGCTCATTTGTTTCCAAATTGAAATCCCAAGACTCTTCCATATTTGAAAAGTGTCATAGATGCTTTTTGGATGGCTGCTCTGCCTTGTCAAGAGAAAAGCAGCAAGTATGAAGGGAGGAAGACATTCTTCTAAGCAGAATTCACAAGAGGCTTCGCCACATTGACTCTGAGAAGACTGGGCACAAGCTCACTAAATCCTAAACATTCTGAGGGATCAGCTGAAAGCCATCCATGGACTTTGATTTTAGTGCTAACAAACTTCTGTCTCGTAGTGATAAGTACATGCTGTTCACAGAATGTCCAAGCTGTCCTCCTGCATGCCCTTCCCTAAACACCCAGCACCACAGGCACTGAACTTTGGGCTCAGCCCATGGCACAGATCCTGTACGTATGGGTAGTAGAGGTTAATTGTAACATAACAAAGAAGAACCAGGCTGGGGAAGTGTGGGGTCAGTCACTAAACTCTTTTGCATCCCGGTTCCCTTACACTGGATAAATCTAATGTACTTCATTTCCTGTGGTGGAAACATTTTGCCCTCAGTCTCACCATAAGAAAAAGCAAATGGGGGCCATCCTAAGCCAGGGGAAATTGGGAACCCAATATGAAGGGCACAGATGACATGGGTAACTGATTGATTTAATTACAACCTAATTTCCTCAATCACAAGTTCAAAAGTAGATGGCATTGGGTTTTAATTAAGAGGACTGCTTGAAGGCTCTCAACCTCATCATGTTTTAGTCAAAAAGGTATGGAATAAAGGTCAGGAGATTGTACTTTTAGTTAATATAAACTAAAGGAATTATCAGATCCAGCAGAAAGTTCTCAGAACTATCAATACTTATTGACAGATGCTGCTCCTCTTTTAGATACAGCACTCAAACACACTTCAGCTTTTTCCCAAGTCACCCATGGACAAACCCAGTCCTCACCTCTCCACAGCCCATCCCTGTCCTGCTGCAGTCCTCAGCATCAGAGCCCCACATACCTCGCAAATGTCCTTGAGGTGTTTGATGTAGTGGCGCTCGGTGCTCATGATCTCATTGATGACGTTGGCTCTCATCTGGTCTCGGTTCTGCACAGTCCTGCCGAGACAGAGGCAGTCGGCGCTGGGATCCAAATGGCCATTCTGCACGTCGCTGGTTCCCTCCTCCACTCCATCTTCCTGGTTTACCCATAGCTGTGAGGAGAAGAGGGGAGAGAAACAGGCTTGTTCACAACAGCATCAGAAGCCAATGAGCCAGAGTGGGCTGGCTTTTGGGTTGCATGGCCCTGGGAGATCCTGGATCCACTCCCTCCTTACACCAATGGTTAATACTCTTGCTAGCAATGCACTGGGGTGTCCACACAGCTCACAGCCCACACAGCCCCTTTCTACACTGGTGCACTCAGTCCCAAATGGTTCCCCACACACTGCCAAGCTCTGCCCATAAGCATGAGGATTGCAAGTGTTTGCCGTTTTGATCCCAAATACAAAATGATCATGTGAAAGGGTAACTGGGTGCTGGATGCTGCCACGTGCTCTGAACCAAGATGGACATGTAAAACAGACCAGCCTAAAGCAGACTGCTGTTACTGGTGTAAAGCACTGCTGTCCCAGTTCCTGCCCACCTCCAGTTGGGGTCTGTCTGAGCAGGAGTATCCTCTGGGAGGAGAGAGAAGCCCTTCCCAGGTGAATGATTTAAGGTCAAGATGCGGCTGGTTCAGAGATCTGAACGAACATGCACGTTAGCCCCTGCAAGCTGGGTCGTGGCTCTGGGGTTTGTAAACTTCCCAGGCCAGGGTTTGTGAATGAGCATTGATTTCATTTCACAGCAGCTTTCCTCATCAGTTCACATGAACAGTCTTTCTGACTCAGGCAAATCTCCCATCTCAGCATCCTGAGACTGGGATCCCCAAACCACATGGACAGCACACCTGAGGCTGAGTAAGACTCCTAAATGCTGGGGGGCTGAGGGCAGCTTGGGACAGGGTGCCAAGCACTGGGCCCTGAATACTCTACCTTGGAACAAGTTAGAAAAAGCAATGAAAAAGGATCATTGTTTTCAGCATGCTGAATCTTCTTTCCATCATCAAATGAAAAACATACACTGAACTTGCAAACTGAAAGATAACACTCTCTCCTAGGCTGCACAAGACTGCTCTGCACACAACATACGGACCAGGGACCTCCTTCTGTTACCTTTTCCCCCAAATGAAACCTGCTTAAAATAACTCTGATGGACTCAAATTGGGCTGAGGGTAGTTTGTAAACAAACATTAAACGAAGTTTAAAACTGACAGAAATACCCCTGTCTTACACAGACCACCTCAGCTGTGATGGAAATGAAGCAACTGCTCGCCTCACCATTTAAAGCCTGAATACTGGGGACTTTCAAATCTAAAGATACATATACCTGTGAGCAGTGACACTGTCCACACACTCAGCACATGGGAACCAAACCTCGTTAACCTGATCTTCATGCTTTCTTTCAGTGTTAGTAGTTTTTCATACTTTGCTATTATTCAGCTTATATTAGGCTTTTAACATGTTGTAAAGGGCAGCGTTCCTGCAAATTACTAACATAAAACCCCCCAAACCTGCCCATGCTCCTCCCATGCTTTCCCAACCTAAACCACCTCTCAGCTCCCATGTTTTGTCATCCTACAGGGAGTTCTAAAGGAAAAACACAAACGTGTGCCCAGTCTGGGAGTTGATAGGGACTGGATACAAGCGTGCAGGGCAGCAGTGCTCACTGAAATGCCAAGCTGCCCTCTTCACCGGGGGCAGGACACCCTGGTACCCCCCCAAGCTGAGCTGCTGCCCCGGGCTGTGCTCACATCCTGTCCTGGCAGCCAGGCACATCCCAGGCCAGGAAACCCAGTGCAACCCATGTGCCTGAATGAGCCAGTGGCAGAGCCAGGATGGATCCAGGTGTCCTGACTCCTCTGCTCACACAGTCCCCTACCTGTCCCCCAGGCTGCACATGGATCTCTGAAAGGGGTTTTCTAGGATTTCCAACAGCACTGCTGTCCTGGAGGCCTGGCTGAGCCCTGGGTCACTGCTAGGGAAGGAAGTGAGCTAGTGATCTAATTCCACCCAAATGGAGGGAGATCTAGCATGGAAAACCTGTCCTGGCACACTGAACAACATCAGAAGAATGTGTCTTGTTCAGAGAAACAATCCAAAAGCTAGTTAGAAAACTGTGCCTCTTCCCAGCAACCCCAGTGTGCTCTGGAAGAGGCTTCAGCCATACAGTGCTCCATATACATGAGCAGTGGTTTATGCTGAAAAATAAATGTCCAAGTGCTGCTGCTGAATAATGGCCTCGCTGGGGTATGACTGCCAAGGCGACCTCAGGGGACAATCTACTGACATCAGTGACACCGATTTCAGTGGGGGCTCTGCTGTGAATACCTGGGGGCACCCTCAGAAGGGAACACAGAACTTTGGAAGGCTAGAATGGCAGAGGGACTCCTCTGAGGAATATTCCCTAATGACAGTTTCATTGGCATTCCAAACCAAGCAGATGTTGAAAATCAAGCAGGACCAATGTGGGTATTAAACCCTGTCGGCTGAAGTTTAAAATAACTTCCCACTCTACCTTCCTGCTCCTATGAAAAGGGATTTTGCAGCTTTCCTAAACCCAACTGGAACAGCTTGTTTTCAAGTTTTATGACACTCCTGCCAGTTTGGCAACAGCATATTTTTAAAGCTCTACCTCCTGGAGTCAGGTGATCATGAGAAAAAAATCAATTTTTATTTAAAAAATAAAGCAGAAAAGATCTAATCATAGTAACATATGTGTGTGTAAGCTTGAATCATGAATCCTAAGGGCTTTGAAACTCCCAGGGAAATAGCAAGCTTGAAAACTTCCATGATTTCTGAAACCCTCCAAATCTGTTCTACCTTTTGTGCACTGCAAGAACACTCCCTGCTTCCTCGTCTGGGAATCTCCAGAGTCCTGCTTTTTTCCTTAATGAAGTTTTTGCTCCTTTCTGCTAGGATTCACGTTCCCAAAAGGAAAAAAAATACAGTTGTAGTCTAGATGACTTCTGCTTCAGATTACAAACAAATGAACGATTTTATTGGTACCAGAGGAAGCTGAAGGTGCCTTCCAGCCTGTGCTCTCCAGCCTCAGCAGCTGGAAGGATGAATCCCACTGTGCTGTTCAAACACTCCTGCTTTCTGTCTTAACCTCTAAAGTTCTCTGAAATTACAGCAAGGCCCATTCTTCCAGGGCATCATTTGAAGTTTAGACCATGACTCACACAAGCTGAGGTACACTGCCAGCTCTGCCACTGACCTGAGACCAGTCACTTCAACTGGAGGCTTTCCCCACCTAAAACAAGGGATAATCACAGACAAGCTCATGCATACACTGAAATGTGGATTTAAATGCATCACTGTAGGCTCACCAAACTCTTGAACTCATCCATGAGCAACAATTTGGTGAGACAGACCTGTGGTCTGATGCAGCACAGCTGATTTTGCACCTTCAGCTCTCCAATGCTCCGGTGCCTGAGCAGAGGAGGAGCTGAGCCGTACTGGGGCAAGGGAAGGTGTCACCTCAAGGGTTAACTGTGTCCTCTGCCCCTACACCACCACCCCAAGCCAGATCCTCTCTGCTTCACTGACCTGCTCGCTCAAACCACAGCCATGGCACGCTGCAGGCGACAGAAAGGTGGAAGAGGCAAACTGGGGGTGACACTGGTTTTGCCCAGAAACCTATTAAGTGTCATATTTAGTTCATTTAGACAAAGCTGCAAACATTCCTATTTTAGCCCAGGCCACAGTCACCTGTAAGCAGAATGTTCGCTATGTTTTAGACACATGTGACTCTCCCAAAAATGCTCTTCTGCCTGAAATGCCTGACCTCCTTTCTGTGGGTAACAGCTGAGATCCCACTCATGGAAAAAGGTCCAACTCCTCCCCACCTTTTTAATACACACTGGACACAAATGCACAGATGTAAGCACCTTCCAGTGCAAATATCTCTATGTTTTATACAAGAAGCTTCAAAACTCTAGCTTCCCTCATTTTCAGCCCATCTCTCCAGCCTTCTCAGACAAGGATGGGTGGCTGCCATCCCTGGGAAGCTCCTGTGGGGCATTCCACAGAGCAGGAATAGGACATAAGTTCCCTGGCACCTTGTCAACTCTGCTGCTCACTTGGATTCCAAGAAGCCTCTCCAAGCTCCTGTCCTGTCCTCCTCAGCAATTCAGGGCTGTGGCTACGACAGGGCATTGGGACTAAATTATTGCATCCAATGCCACTGTTTTTTTAAAAAGATAAATAACAACAGCTATTCATCAATCATCAACAACCCCACAATAATAAATCAGCCTTCAGTGTCCCTTTAAACACCTCTGCAATGCAAAAATTCATGGGCTGTCACATAATACAGCACTGTGTGGGTTTCCCCCATGCTATGAAAAAGGCTCAGCCCTTGAACAACGAAGTCTTCCCTGAGGGCCATTTCAAACACTTTGAGTCAAGAATTAATTAAAAGAAAGCAACTAAAACCACAGAGAGAAAAAAATTCAAGTTGCATAATGCTCATCCTACATGTTTCCCACTGGAAGGCCACCCTACATGTGAAGAGGAACAGGTTATCATGAGGCTCCCAGTCCTATACAAAATTCAGCCCTAATTGGGAAGTCCTAGCTTGCAGAGGCAGATAAAAGCCAAATTAAAAAAAAACTCCTTTTCCCAAAGGACCAGTTCTAGGAGCCAGAGAGAGATGATCACTGTATTGTGATAGTTCATGTTGTGTGTGATTGATATGCTTTTAAAAAGTGAAAAAAGGAAGACCCAGGGGGTAACCACAGGTCAAGAGTCAGGCTCACCTTGGTGCCCAGCAAGATCATGGAACAGTTTCTCCTGGAATATATGCTAAGGGGCATGGAAAACAAGGAGATGACTGGTGAGAGATAACATAGCTTCACTGAGGGCACATCATTCCTGACAAATTCAGTCACCTCCAACAACATGGTTACAGCCCTCATAGCCCCTTCCAGTGCTTAAAGGGGCTCCAAGAGAGCTGCAGAGGGACTTTGGACAAGGGGCTGGAGTGACAGGACAAGGGGGAATGGCTTCCCACTGCCAGAGGGCAGGGCTGCATGGGATATTGGGGATAAATTCTTCCCTGTGAGGGTGGTGAGGCACTGGCACAGGTTGCCCAGAGCAGCTGTAGCTGT